TACCCAAGTTGGTGCGCGTATCCCACTATGCCATTCACTACCGGATGGGTGTGTAAGTTAACTAAAATATTTTCCTCAAATATTGCCATTACACCAAATCTATATTTGCCAAATATTCCTGCCAAACTTCTCGTGTTTAGTGGCGTCTTTTGGTTCATGGGTATTGTAGCCTTGGTATTATCCCCAGTAAATGGCAAAACTCGTGTTATAACCACCCAATGATTTTTGTGAAAATTTCCAAAAAACATAAGATAGAAATTACCATCTGTTCTCCATCACACATCCCCTTGTGTTTGGCTTGTCCAGAATTATTGGCGGCCAGCGATTTGACCAGTCTCAAAAAATTATTTGTCGCCGGCAAAACAATTAATTATGCCTAGAAGGCCAAATTTAAGGAATACGCCGTGAATTCTGAATTTCCCATTTTGTACGGCATGACGGAGCTGTGTGGTGCCGTAACACTTGGCATGTTGGATGACAGCAATAAAGTTGTCCAATTAGCCCACAATATAGAAGATCTCAGTTGGGCCTCGGCAACTCTGGTTTGTAATCATGGCTGCTGCCCTCGGAGCAGAGTTTCTCCGAGGATTGTATTCAACCTTTATTCTTGAATTGCATCCTAAAGTGCATTACTGTAAATACGATTCATTCCTGCTTGATAAACCTGTTGATATAGAGCTTCTCTTTTGTACCTTCGGAACTCTCTCTTGAGATCATGAAAATCCTTCATGGCATGCATAGGTGGTGGATCGGATGGCTATTTATGTAAAACTCAATCACATATTGCATCGACAACATCTTGTTGGAAGGAACATCCTGTTGAGGGAACACCCTGTTGCAATCCTCAGGCCGACATTCTGGCAGGATTAAGTATTTTCCATCGCTCTCGCAAATATCACAAATTTTCGTATAATCATCCGGTAGACGTGGAATTTCAAAAAAGTAGAGTCTTAGCTACTGGCAACAAAAGTGAGATCGACCTGCCACCCTGGCATAAGGAACTATTATAATAGCTAATGAGAGAATGATAACTTTGGCCAGCTGCTCCTAGATCATCAAGCTGCTTCAACATTACCATAGAGATTCCATCCGGACAAAGTGCCTCAGATGATCCTGCAACATTCTGCAAACGTCCTCATCCATCTACGGATGCAGTATAAGATGCGCAATACCTCAACACCTTCCTGATTTCGAGAGCGACTTAACCGCTAGGCTTAGAATTTCAGAACGGTAGAGTCTTAGCAACTGTCGACAAAAGTGAGATCAGCCTGTATGATTCACCTTTACTGGCATCAGAGCTCCGATTTGCTCGATTTTACTCGCGAGTGAAAAATACTCCCGAGTGGGAGTATGTAAAGAGTACGAGTTTTTTAGGGAGTATACTCTCCACTCTTTTATTTTGTTTGGGAGTGCTCGCGAGTACTCCTTGATGAAGAAAAAGAGTGTGAGTCAAAATGTTCGAAATAGAGTATGAGTTCACTCTAAGAGTGAAATCGAGTGGACAAATAAATTTGGTTGTTTGGTTATTTGTGTGTGTGTGTAGTAGCAAACATTTTTTGATGTTGATCTTTTGTGTGCTGTGGGGAGATCGATTATTTTCCTTACTGAAAATGTGAAATACAAATAAAAATCTTATACCATATAAGATTTTTATATGTTTTTTATTTCAATTTATAAAATGAATTCAACCGTGTGATTAAATTAATTCAATATTTTTTTAAAAGCATAATCACCTCCAAACAAATTTTTAAAATGGTATTCATTAAAAAATGTGGAAAAGTATTCTCCAAAAATATTAAAAGCGCTGGTTTGAAAGGAACCCCATGAATGTATAAGTGGTTCATTATTTAATTTTAGTATCAAAATATTGTCGAGGGTTTCAATTTGGAGGCTGGTTCGTCTTGCTGTCACTATTTCAGACTTACATAAAGTAAACGCAGAGAATGAGCTTGTTGATGCACGCTTTCCCAGCAGTACAGCAAACCAAACATCACAAAACAAACAAACAAACAATGCACACAAACAACATCAAGTAAAACAACGGTATCACAACAAAAACATAAATAAAAATAAAAGAGTACTCGGCAAGAGTGTAATCTGCTCGATTTCGAGCGTATTTCACTCCCACTCGAAAACGAGCGAAGCACTTGCGCTCTTATTTGAGTGGCTGAGAAAAATAGAGTATACTCTATTTACTTTTTCTACTCGCAAGAGTACTCCCGCTCGAATTCGAGCGAGTTTCACTCTTTACTCGAAATCGAGCGAGCATTTCGGAGCTCTGACTGGCATTCTTGCCTGTCTTCAGTAGCGGTACCACCCTGGCAACGGGAACCAGTAGAATGACTAACGACAATTAGAGGACGTGGTTTGCTACTCTTGGCTCATCAAGCTGCTTCAATAACACCATAGAGATTCCATGCGGACTACAACGTAAATTGTATCCATCTGAATAGATCGTATACTGCGCAATAATCTGCTCTTTGCCCTGTCGCTTTTGGGGTGCTATACAAATTGCCAGTTAAAATAACACATCCACCTTTTCACATCAATGCCTATAAACCGATCCTCTCTCCTTCCTGGGTTCGAGAGAGCCTTAACCGTTGCATACAATTTACTCACTCTGTTATTGATGCCGACTAACCTATTGACTTCCTGTGTCAGTTCTCTGATTCTGAAGTTAGTAGGGTTAGTACGCCGAAACTCATTTGCTAATCTCGTTGCTGGAATGTTGGGACACAATTCGCATATACTACCCATAGGATTATAGCGAAAAAATTTCTTTCGGATCGATCCGAGGAGCGAATATCGATTCGGTCCAGTACCAAGGTTCGCACTCGTCTTAATGTAGCAGCAAAGGTGCGATCTAATGTAACACGTAAACTCGTCCTCGAAAGCTGGAAACTCAACAGATAGCAGAAGCCTACTCCGCTCAACTTAACCAACTGCTTGTCCCGATAAAAATATAGAAGCACAATGTCAAAGAATTGCCCACTCCATACAAACTGCAGCAAAAGCAACATCAAGAAACCAGTGATACGATCAGGAGCGTCGTAATGCAACTGATATGAAGAACGCAGCGTATAGAGCAACCCTGCAAACAGTAACAAGAAAAAAAGAGAGAGGAAAAACGCATTTTCAAAAGAAAGAAGAAAGAACAAGAAAAACGTGAGCGGAAGCGGGGCTTTGGTGCAGGCACATCCTCTTGTAGAGGAGATAAATAAGGAAACCTGGAGACCGATACAGACAGCGTATTGAAGACCTGGAAGGAGCATTTTGAAAAGCTTCTGGTATCCAATAGTAGCGGTGAAGAGAATACCCCAAAACCAATAATAGATGACGGTATAGAGTGTATATCACCTAGCAAAAAAGGAGACAAGACGATATGTGCCAACTATAGAGGAATAAGTCACCTTCCCATCGCATATAAAGTGCCATCCAGCGTGCTCTGTGAACGGCTTAAATCAGTGGTTAATGACATTATTGGACCATACCAATGCTGCTTCAGGCCTGGCAAATCCACCATTGACCAGATTTTAACTCTGCGCTAAATCATGGAAAAAACCCACGAAAAACACATCGACACATTCCACCTATTCGTCGACTATAAAACCGCATTCGACAGCCCTATGCGTTCGGCATTCCTGTAAAATTAATACGGCTATGCAGGATAACTTTAAGTGGTACAAGGTCGCAGTTAAAGTCGGAATGGACTTCTTGGAGCCCTTCAACATCGAAAGAGGATTCAGACAAGGTGACGGTTTATCGTGTGACCTTTTTAACATTCTGCTGGAAAAGGTCATACGAGATGCAAATGTGAACAGAAATGATACTCTGTACACCAAACAGCCTACACCGGCAACATCGACATAATGGGTGGAATATTGCGAGCGGTAACTGCAACCTTTGAACGAATTGAGGACTGTGTCAATGTGGAATTGACATTGAATTTCGAGAAGACTAAACTGATGGTATCAATGCGCAAGACGTCCAGTAGACTCGGACCAGCTGTGGAACTTGAGAACTACCGCTTCGAGGTAGTCAAAGATTTTATATACCTTGGTTCTGCCATAAATAAAACTAATGAAATCAGTTTTGAAATTCGGAGAAGGGTAGTGTTGACCAACAGATGCTACTATGGTCTATGTAAGCAGTTTAGAAACAAGGTCACCTCCCGCCAGACCAAACTCACACTCTACAAGACGCTGATACTACCCTTGCTGTTGTATGGATCTGAAGCATGGGTACTTACGCAAGCAGATGAGGCAGCTCTTAGAGTGTTGGAAAGAAAAATTCTCCAAAAAATTTGTTGGACGATCGGAATGAGCCATGAGTTGTACCATCTATTCTCTGACATCGGAATTGTCAGAGGTATCGAGCTGCAGCGACTACTTTGCTAGGCCGACGCACATGGACATCTTTTTTATGGAACAAAAGTTCTGTCACAAGTCAGCTAAGTAAGTATACAAAAATTCACAATATAGGAAGATACATCTTTGGCAACGTTCCACACGTTGAATATACATACATGCATTATCGATCTTTTACTTATACAGCGCATTGTCAATACAATGCAACCATTGATCCACTGGCCCATAAAATGCAAATACAACTGTTTTTTGTGAATGCCATTAAACCCAACCGCAAAGATAAACAAGTTTTATTGACTCCGATAAACCCGCCAGTCACTGCACACAACGTTCAAACTTGCTGACCACCAGTTACAGCAACAGCCACTGAGTTCAACGATTCGGCTTTCAGTTGTCGCTGAGTAGGCAGACGGCACGCACGCCACCTCTCACTCACTTCTGTCGGAATGAATTCATTTTGTTTTTGGCGGATAAATTATGTGTACATAAACAAAACTCGGGAAGTGAATACGCATCTATAAATAAATGCAATTTCATTGAGAAAAGTAGCAAAACAGAAAAACAAAAATATTGAAAGGAAAAGAAGAAGAATCGTTTGCTAGAAGAGAATTTTTTTGTTGACAAATTTTAACTTTGAAATGGAAATAAAAGGCGATACAGACCAAGAACAGATTATCGATAACCTACAAAAATGGTTTGAAGATAATACAAAATTACCCAATAAAATTGGTAAGTAACTCCAGGCAGTGGCATATATTTGATGATAAGATGTCGCTATGCCAGTCAATTGCCGGCAATTAAAAATAATGCCGAGGTATTTGTTTGTGAATGTTTGGTGTGAATTATATTCAATAAACCGGTTATTGAAAATAATTCACAAAAGTGTAACAGAAAGTCAATTGAGTTCGTTTTGTTTCCTACACAACTATGTTGTCAGTATATAATACCTTATGCAGCCCCAACAATTTTTTACGTCGAGAAATATTGGTCCTAGCTAGACCCACCTCTAAGTATACCGTAGTCGTATGAGTCGATCTAGACATGTGTGTCCGTCCGTTCGTCTGTCCATTATAATTTGTAAACACGATACAGGCCACAGTTATGGACCAATCTTCAGGAAATTTTGTATGTAGGATGAGTCCTGCTCAATGAAGACCCTCTATTGCTTTTGGTAAAGATTGGTTAATATTTAGGGGATGAAATGGACCAAATACTTTATTTTTGTCTGATTTTCTGGTTGTATTCTATAGCGTATATGTTTACTCCTGAAGGACAAAGACCCGAGAAGTTGATAGTATACCCAAGAGGAGTAGTTGGCCTTTAAATTGATACCAATTATATTGTCGTATGTACTCGAATGTGGGAGTTACACTTAAATATTTACAGGTGATTATGTATTCAGATATTATTTAATAACCCATTAACATACTGGAGGGAGGAAATATAGCGCTGATCGCTTTAAAATGTTCCATAGGTTCCAGTTATGGTTAAGGACAACGCCTATAATTTTTGGTGATGATCAGATAATAATTTTGGGATGAAGTGGACCAAAAACTTATTTTTTGTGTTTTTTTTTTTCTTTTTTTTTTTTTGAGTCTCGATATCTTGCCCAGGTCGGAAAAAAATCCGCAGAATGTTAGAGTTCTGTGGTAGTTGTGTAGGGTATGGTATGGTCGGCCTCGTCCAACTATACTGCTCACTGGTTTTAATTTCTATCACTGTTTCCAATGTCTTTTAAAATTTGGTCCCTTAATGACTCAATTATGGTTTGTTCGCGTACTCAAAATTTTGTAAAACATATAAAATTTATAGGGGGAAAATCACAAACAATTTCTATTAATACAAATTATAACGAGTAGACGGACCGGCACAAATTGCTATCCATTCAGTTGGTCAAGATATGATATGGTCGAGATATCTATGTACAATAAAAAATTCGTAGTATTACAATTTCTTAGGGCGACACAAACCTATATTACCCTCACAGCATAGGTGTGTAGGCTATACAAATATTATTGAGGAAACTTGGAAAACAGAGTGTCATTCAAAAGTGATTGTGTGTACGTCGCTTAAGAACTAGTTCAGTACCGATTATATGATGGAATTTGCTATGGAACGCAGGTGACGAATCATGTATATATCAGTCCGAAATAATCGATCTTGCGGCTCTTCGTATTCAAGTTAAATCCAAAGAATTTATTCGCGGAAAAACAAATAGTAGCCTGTATCTTCGACAAAACTGGTCATGTGACAACTGCTTCGTTTAATCCACCTAGGGCAGCATGGTCAAAACGTGATGTGCGGGTCATCCACCGTACAGCTCTGACGTGGTACCCAATAATTTGGCTTGAGCGCGTTCAACGGTGTATTCCACTATTTGTCATGTGCACATTGTTATCAGCTGTTAATTATAATACTTGACTTTTCGCAGCCCTGGAACAAATGAAAAGAAGGACTTGGCATAGCAATTGACTTATAATGGTATTGGGTGCCACGCATAATAATGTGAATTATTTTATCAATAAAGCGCCCGGTGGTTATTTGTGGTTATTTCCAACATGATGGATTCTTACTGAATTACCTATCATTTTTATTGAAATAAAACCAGTAAAGAAAGTAGTAAAGTCGGATTGGGCCGACTATATGATACCCTTCACCAATTTGGGCATATTCTATATATGTCTTCTAAAAGACGTCACCTTTTCGAAAGAACATTGCCATGAAATTGAACGAACTCGAATATTTGATATTTATGTCTTTCTGGAACCTATGCTAAATTTAATTTCATTTAGGCAAGTTTAGAATCGTTTGCATACAATGGGACAAATTTATGTAAATCGGTTAGGAGCAAACTTCATACACGCTATTCGGTAGGCCATACTATTCAATATTTAATCTCAATGAGACACCCAATTGAAATAGATATGAAAGCTGTGTCTGCATCTGCACCAATTTTAACAAACAACAGTAACGTCATTTTAGTCTCAATTGGAAACGGTGTGCAACCAACGAAAATATACATGGGGGCTATATGTAAATCTGAACCGACTTCAACGAAACCTGCCAGAGATTAAATTATATTAACTTCATTACATTGTACAAAATTGTGTGCAAATTGGGCAAACTTTGGCTCTAAAGTGCACAATTTACATAAAATCGGAATAAAAGACATATGTGAGCTATATCTAAATTTGAACTGATTATCACAAAACTTTACACACATCATTCTAGATTCAATTCAGTACGCTATGTCAAATTCCGTGCAAATCGAAATATATATAGGTACTATAGTACACCATTAACATTAAATCGGGCGAAAATATATATGGGAGCCTTATCTAAATCTGAACCGATTTTCACCAAACATAACACACATCACTCTAGACTTAATTCAGTACGCTATGTCAAATTTCGTGTAAATCGAAAAATATATATAGGGACTTTGGTACACCATTTACATTAAGGGAACCCCCCATTCTCGAGGTCAAAAAATGTTATTTAGTTTTTCGAATTCAAAATTTCAAGTGAAAATCTCAAGAACTCTTGAAGATTTAGTCGATTTATTGTGTCAGCATCAAGTGACGGCAAGAGTGATTCTCAAACTTTAAACGCATTTTTCTCGAATTATTGTTTTACGAATGGCGGGCACGTTAACTCAAAAACTAATAATCCAATCGATCCAAATTTTGGGATGTTTCTCTGTGAGTGTATAGCTATCGTATGAACTAGGTTATATCCAATCGGTCAAGATCTTCCTTATTTTTTAACTTGGTTTGTGGTAAAAAATAGGCGATTTTTCATTGGGCGACGCCAAAAATCCTAGCTCATACGAGAGCCTATCGCCGTTTGAATTTTCGGATTACGATGTTCCAGTGAGGAGTTATCATGGCCGCCATAAAAAATAAGGACTTTACTTCAATCACCAAAAACAACAACAACAAAATTTTGTAAATTATTTTTCTTCTCTTTTATATCTTCAACTATATATGTGTAAAGTTACAAACCTTACATTGGTATTCATTTACCAGCCCATTGAAAATCTTAAAAATACAAAATCGAGAATGGGGGAGGGGGGTTCCCCTAAATGGTATGAAAATATATATTCGAGCTATATCTAAATCTGAACCGATTTGCCCCAATTTCAATAGAGTTCGTCCTTAGCCCAAATTGATGAGCTGTGCCAAATTTCATCAAATTCGGATCATAAATGCGATCTGTAATTTGTTTACAATCGACTTAGTAAGTGATTCTATACATATTCTGGAAAGGAACCATGTGTCTATCTCCTTTTGCCTGTTACAAACATATGCACAAAGACATAATACCCTGAACCACATTGTGTGTATAAAAATATCCCTACAGAAAAGTACCAATATTGGTCCATTTTTTGGGGTAGCCTCCATATAACGGTATCCAAATATTCGGATCTTGGGGATTTTTGTCAAATTTTAGATCGAATTGGCAGTCATTTATTACGCTTCTAATTGAGTACGAATCCACGCCTCAAAATGATCAATATTGGCCCATTTTATTGCACCCTAAATTTGCTTGCGATATAGCGATTAAAATTGGAAGTTTTATCACACTTCTCAGCCTCATACGCTGTAATATAGTTCCGCGTGGTGTTGAAACCTATGCTGGTGGGTGTTAAAAGTACGGTCCGACCGAACATAACGCCTCGTTCACTTGTTTATTATTAGAGAAATGTTTTTCAAGAATATTTTGTATAATCTAATTCAGACTCCTTATATTTATTCTAGATCGGCTTGTCCTCACCCGATTCTATTTTTGTATGAACAAAAATGTTGAAGAAACCAAAGAGCTGTTAGAAATTAATTATTCCTTGCGTAATAAATATCCTGAACTATTTATAAAACGAGATCCTGAAGATGAAGATACACGAAATACCTACGCTTTCACGTAAGTTTTTGTTTTGGCTAATTTAGCCTCATGGAAAAGTTAAAAATATCTCCCATTAATAATAATTATCATAAAATTAAATTTGTATAATCATGTCACATTTATTTTATGCATCTCCACATAGTTACATGGTTCCCCTGCCTGGATTAACTCACAGAAATTATCGAGTAACTTATGTTCGCTTTAAAAATCCCGATCCCAAAATGGTTAGTTCAACATTAGAAATAGAAAATTACCATCTTGGAAGTATTTAAGCCTAGTACACACTTTCTAACACGATTGACTGCCAATATCGTTTTTGGTTTCCTTACATATTAATTAAAATATAATGATAATACAAAATTGTTGTTAACAATACATTTTTTTCTTAAAATTAGCCAAAAAGTACGAAAACTGTCATTTGTGCTTATTAGTGTGTACTACGCTTAATGTCATATTTACTTAAGGGGGAAAAACATAACAAAACTTCAGGCTTGACATGTTAAGTTGGCTTCTTTTATTGTAAAAGAATAAAGCAAAACGGCGTCCAAAATCAAGTTTGACTAAGATATTCCTTTATAAATTGACATTTTATACAAAGCCAATTTAATAGACTAGGCATGAATTCTTGTATGTGTTCCCTCCCTAGAGTGTATATACACTGAACGTGGTTTGCGGTAGTTGTAATTTACTTGACATTTACTCAAAGGGAAATGACAAATTAAATTATGATTTATCTCAAAACACAGTGCAAATGTATCTCCTATAAAAATATCTATAAAATACTTAGTCATATATAAACGTAGCGTAAAAAATCGCCTGAGCTAGTTAAATGACTTTAATTCCCTCCGCATTACAGATGCACTTTAGTCAAGATGCCAAAACACTGCTTATGATTGGTGATTGTCGCTTCACCATGCCCGATGCTGTGATCAATGACATTCCCGTTGTGGCCGATGGTGATATTCTTGTCATGGATATGGAAGGCTATCGCATGCAACATGTCGCAGGAGTTTCGTTGAGAACGTTACGGATATTTTTGAAATTTTTACAACAGGCCTATTCTGTACGGATAAAAGGGCTGCATTTCATAAATTGTCCATCTTATTTGAATAAAATTATGGCCGTAGTTAAGCCGTTTATTAGCAAGGAAGTCTATGATATGGTGAGTAGAAAAATAAAGAAATTGATAATGTAACGTAACAAGAGAAGGAGTATTTAGACTATAGCTTTTATTATTTTATTATACAACAGCTGACTGTCAGCTTTATATAATTTTAAAAGAAGACTAAACTGCTAGGATTTCGTACATCGACTTAAAAGTTCTAGTCTAAACGCGTCTTAAACGTTTGGTCATCGGTAATGTCATGATGCAATATTAGTGAACAAAAAAACATTTGTTTTTGTCCCCACCATCTGTCAAATTGTTTTTAGTAATATTTCACATGGTTGGCAACATTGCACATCGAATTCAAGTACAAACTAGACGCACTTTGACAGTTAATCGAATGTTCAGCTGCGCTAAATGGACTACATATCAATTGTGCCATGGGTAATCTGTTGCGTGCGGCCATAGCACTTCTAGCGCAGCTGACTATTCGATTAACTGTTAAAGTACATAGTCACCATACAAAATTAAATCCATTCAATGTCTCGATTTGCTCGAAATCCTCTCAAGATAATTTCAAATACAACCCTGCTTTTGTATCAAAAAAGCATCACTTCTCCTAAAAGTGCGAAAATGGCAAGGCTCTAACGATGTATGTATATGTCATGATGTAATAATAAGGTGATGTATCACAACAAAAACCTTTGTTTTTGTATCGATTATCTGTCAAATGTTTCCATATAATATTTCAAATGGCTGGTAACACTGCACATCGAATTCAAGTAGAAATTACGACGCACTTTGACAGTTAATCAAGACATCAGCTGCACTAAATGGACTACCTATTCATTGTGTCATGCTATATGTAAACAAATAACAGCTGACTAACAATTTTTTCACAATTGTAATAGAAGTCTAAACAGCTAGGATTTTGTACCTAGATTTTAAGGCCCTAGTCTAACGCGCCTTAAAAGTTTGGTCATCGGCGATGTGTTGTGCGCGGCCATGGCACAATAAATAGGTACTCCATTTAGCTCAGCTGACTATCCGATTAACTGTCAAAGTGCACAACATGATAAAATAATAGGGTGACGAAACAAAACAAAAACATCAACCATCTGTCAAAATTTATATGGTAAAATTTCACATGGATGTCAACATTGCACGTCGAATTCAAGTTGAAATGCAGCTGAATATCCGATTAGCAGTCAAGTGTATTGTTTAGGCTTGCTGTTTAAACTTGTATTCAAATGATAAAGCTGTTGATACATCACCTTACTATTGCATCATTCGTGCGGCCAACAAAAAATTTGACATAATCACAGCGTTGCCAACAACATTGAAAGTCATCCTGTCGTTGATTTGGCAACTCACCGAATGTATTCGTTTCTTCTATTTGGCAAATGAACACAAATATCCCTGTAGGAAAAGAAAAAAAGAATAATATAAATCTCTTAAAATGTAAATAAGTTATTCGAGTTTCAAATTGAAAATACATGAAACCACGTTTTTCTCTATATTTACCGTTATAAAATTGATTTTCGAAGTGACCCATAAAAACCAAAGGTATTTTCGTGGTCCAGGGACTCCTACTAAACAGAATTGGTACATTAGATCCACTGAAAAAAAAATTTTTGTTATTTTGTAGCACAGTGTAATTAATTTATTTGATTTCTTTCTTTTAACTAGATGCACTTCCATGTCACTGGTTTGGATACCTTATATGCCCACGTACCTCGTGACATTCTTCCCGAAGAATGTGGTGGTTTAGCGGGTAAAATTGAGGACTTAAGTGATCTGTTTTATAAACAGCTGTTATCCAAAAGGTAATTTATTATTACCCATTGTTAATAAATAATTTCAATTAATGTATTTTTCTTGGCTTCATTTTCAGAGACTATTTAATGGATCCGAAATATTGGGTTATCGAAAAACAATAATTCCGATAAAATGTGGCAGTTACTTTCATAGAGTATTTATTATTTTTTTACTAAAATAAAAGATTTTGAAACCAAAAATTTTATAGATGAATTGACTTATCCAAGGATTATTCACATTAACAAAAACTAAATTTATATTTTATATCTATTGTTAGAGAATTACTAGTAAATCTTATATAGACAGACGATTTTTTAATGCATTATTCGTTTCGCTATACTTTGACTTCTCCCACGGAGCAACAAACCTCAAATGTCATCAACAGCGGTTAAGAAAAACATCAGCAATTCACACTTAACCCATATAAATCCCATGTCAAGAGAAACTCAATTTTTGATACATGAACCAATGTTCATAATAATCAGTAAGGAAAGTTGGAAAGTCGGACGGGCCGACTAAATGATACCTTCCACCACTTTGGGTACATACAAGAGATGTTCATACGTACAATATCGATAGAACAGCCATAGCATCTTTAGAGGACCTTAATTAAATATGTAATCTACATAGATATATGTACCAATTTAAAGCAACCCCTAAACATGCCATTCTGAAATCTATGCAAAATTTCATGTCTATCGAGCATATCTGGTGTATCATTTGCATACAATCGAGCAAAACTATGTATGCGAGCGATATGTAAATCTGTACAGATTTCAAGGAAATTTTGTAGTAAAGAAATAGGTTTGCAATAAGTCCGCTAGTAATAGAGGAACATTATGGGAATCACCTTTCTGACATGAACAAGGTTTCGGACGTGGTACGAAGTTTACGGGAATTTTCGGGTAACGCAGCTGAATGCAGTTCAAGGAAACAAAAGTGTAGATAGGATAATGAAACTCTATAAATCCAAAAAGGGCGTACGTAATAAAATTTTCGATAACGTCGATGCGGCTCTCGAGTCCTACAATACACCCTTTAACTGGAATTCTATTTCTAAATGTTTTACCCTACATTATGCAGACAAGAGGGATCTTACAACTCTGGAATACCAGATGACAACGCTTGTGCTGGGTAATAGTAAGGTTGAAGATTTTTATCAAGAGGTGTATTACGAATATACTATTTAGATTATATATCGATATCCTAGCTCATATTTTAGATATCGTTATCCTAGCTCAAACTTACCGAGACAAGGTCTTGGATACATTCATTCGAGGTCTGAAAGGACAAATGTCAATTCACTTGGGTATGAAGGAACCTAAAGGAACCAAGTCCTTCAACTTTGTTTGAAAAGGAAAACCAAATAGTTAGTGCTGATTTTGCTGATCGTGGACAGAAAATTAATAAACACAACATTTTACCCCTGTGGCTTGTACGCAGACTCTATATATGTGAGATACATGTATATCTGTGTGCTGAAACTTCACACACTTATTTTGGACTGAACTCAATACGTAAGGCAAAATATTATTCTCAATCGGACAAACTTTGTGAGTTTGATGCACGAAACTTAACACACATCATTCTAGACTTTATTCAGTTCGCTATGCCAAATTTTGTCCAAATCGAAAGATAAACAGGGACTTCGTTACAAAATAATAATATCCAGTACCACAGTGTGGTGAAAGGTATAGAAACAAGTGTATATTTGTGACTGTGATTTTCGTGATCTACCTGTGGTAAAAATTTCAAATTTCCTAATGTCAGCATGCTCCCCAATTCTTTATTAGAATAAAAATTCGGAAATTCTTGGAAAATCTGAAATATTAAATAGCCATGGATACGTAGACGAAAGCAAAAGTCGATATTTAGACTTTTCGATTTTGGCAAACCTGTTCAAAATCGATTTTCGACAAATATTAGGTTGGGGAAAAATAAATCCATTATTTTATAGGAACAATAGGACTTTTACAGAATGTCCGATTTGGGCCAAATATGCGCCGTTTTGTTGTAAGATTTGTTGCCATTCTAAAGGTAACTTCATAATAACTCTCTCATAGAAGTCCTGCTCTCTATTTGCAAAACAATCAAGTAGTTTCAATCCTCCCTAGACACCAAATATTTATCATTACAGAAATTTTGCAATGCAAGAAAAATATGATAATCGCTTGGTGCCAAGTCCGGACTTTATGGCGGATGCATTAAAACTTCCCAAACAAGCTCCCGAAGTTTCTGGCGAGTTACTGTAGATGTGTTTGGCATAGCGTTGTCCTGGAGGAACACGACACCTCTCCTGTTCCCCAATTCTGGCCGCTTCCGGTCAAATGCTATTTTTAAACTGTCCATTTGTTGACAGTAGAGATCAGAATTTAGCGTTTGGCTATATGAAAGCAACTCATAATAAATAATCCCCTTTCAGTCCCACCAAATGCATAGCAGAACCTTCATGGCCGTTAGTCCTGGATTGATCACCGTTTGAGGTGATTCAACACTCTTTAACCACGATCGTTTTCGCATAGGGTTATCGTTTGTGATCCATTCTCTAGTTTGGCCACCGTTTGAGGTGCTTCACCACTCTTTGACCACAATCGTTCTCACATAGCGTTATCGTTTGTGATCCATTTCTCATCTCCAATCACCATCCGTTTAAGAAATGGGTCTATCTTATTCCATTTGGCCAAGGCTTCGCAGATGGAAAATCGATCCATCCTATTTTTTCTGTTAATGGTCGATTTTTAGCTCCTGGACATGCCGGTCAACTTCGATCATACCTGCGATTTTATCAACATTTTCGACGACCGGCCTAATGTTTTTCTTTTTCCCCACTCTAATATTAATTCGAGGTGTTGCGAACGGAATGACAAATTTAATATTCACTCCAACTTGTGGAGGAAGATGGTTTTAGGCAGCCTCTTTGTTGTAATACCACGGGAGTTACTAGGTTTGCATTGAATATTTAAATATACATAGTGAACGTAAAAAATAATTGTATGAAAATAATAAAATTTTCAAAAATGTGCACAGTTCTAACCACTGTGCATTTACATTACACACACACACACACTATACCGAATATTTAGTTAACAATGAATGCAAGGGCTTCCTACTATAACAGAATCGGGTAAATAACAGACATAGTTCGTGCGTGCAGGTGTATTTAGCATAAATTGAATTGTTACGTTAACGTTGGCTAACATTACTACTACGTCATAATACGGGGGAAACCGGTTAGGGCCTATCAGGTTTTTTGTTATCGGCTGACTGTTAAATAAACAATAGCCAGCCCAGTGCATGGTTTCGGATCTACAGCGAAAAGCAAAAACAGTTGTGCTGGAGATAAGCGAGGGAATAGATGTACTCAACACGATCGCCACGCTTATTACGCTGTGTTTTTGTTTATTAATTGTATAGATTTACGAACGATACGCTTTACAGAAAAACCACAATAAAAACGTGAAGAAGAAGAGAAAAAACAATTAAAAAATAAATTGAAATAATTAACAATTCCATAATAGAATAATTAAATATTAAATTAACGGCTATAGTTCAATAAAATAAAACGACGTACTCATGGAATTAGTGGGGGATAATGAACAAGAAGCAATCTTGGATTCACTGCAAGAATGGTTTGAAGGAAATCCAAAATTTCCAAATAAAATTGGTAAGTTGCCAAAAGAAAAGCGCCAACGACAACAAAAAGAAAGGTCTAATAAGATCTGTGTTTGGGATTGCCATTCATTGTTCGGCGTTTTAAAAACCAATTCAAGACGTGATGTTTGAATGTTTTATGTGTAATAAAATCAATTTATATGTGTGCGACTTAATTCTGATGTAAAATTCAGATAGTATATATTTACCAGAAAAATATGTTAATTACTTAGGCACAGTGGGATATTTAAGAAGATAGAGTGGATGATTTGTAAATGAAAGTTCATTGAATGTGTTGAAGACAATTTCCGACATAATCATCGGCAATTTCGTGATATTCTGATAATAAATATGACCTGTAGAGCGGCTAGAAAATCAAATACATATAGAATTTTCAATAATAGCCGATAAAAAATACATATAGGTCTTTTGGGCATATCGGATTCTACATTTAAAATTTTGTGACAATAGAAAATTGACTAAAGCTTCATGGTAGACAAAAGAGGACCTCCCAATATTCGGAATTTTGTACGTTTTTGCAGCATTTTCAACCTAATCAGCTGTTATTTAGTATTTTGGGTTCACACTGCGTAGAAAATTTTCATACTAACAAATAAAAAAGTGTTAGTCGGTGTTGCCCACAAATGTATACCCTTAGCCCATGGTTTACGGAGGTCTTCAAAATTATGTTATTATAACCTTTATATAAGATATATATTTTTATCAAAGAGGTTTCGGGTTTAATGTTGATTAAATCGGTTATTCAATTCGCTGCAATTTAAATGTATAAGTTTATAAAATATTGACCATTTGTGAGGTAGGTACGGGAAGGAGTGGACCAATGGCTTCCATCTTCGGACCTGATCTGGTTTTGGTATTGGAATAAGTAAATCGATTTTCGCCTAACCGATTAATCATCTTTTTGAAGTGAAAAGTCTAAAAGTCGAATTCGACTTTTGACCTTTGAGGAAATCGCAATGTCGTCTTTTTAAGATCGACTTTCGATCTTTTTTATATATAGTTTTATCATCTCAAAATTGCTCAAAAATTACACATTCTAGAACTTTGTTTTATTTGTTGACAAAAACTAATTAAGAAAAAAATTACTCGATTTTGCATTAATCGGTAAAAGTCGATAATCAAACGCGAAAAGTCTAAAAATCGACTTTTTGGACTTTTGCGCTCGACTACGTATCTCTAGTTTGGTAAAGATAGTAGGATGTGCAATGTTTGGTTTAAATCTGATATTTAATTTCATTTTGGCCTTTTTTGG